ATAGGAACATTAACAGGAGAAGCAGATAACATATTAAATTTACTCAAAACTTTTTCTATGTAAGAAATCTGATTCAAAGTAAGAGTACGCTTACTCCTATCCCTAACAATGTTTATGCCTAGGATCCTCTTGGCATCACCTAGGTCTTTCATGGCAAAATTCGCACAAAGACATTTCTGCACATCTTTAATAGCATTCAGAGAAGGACTAATTATCAGCATGTCATCCACATAGAGTAACAAAAATACAGGCACAGAAGAAGTATTTTTGAAATACAGGCAATGATCACAAACAGATTTCTGGAACTTCAAAGATATCATGCATTTATCAAATTTGATGTTCCACTGCCTAGGGGATTGCTTCAGGCCATACAAAGCCTTCCTAAGCAAACAGACATGCTTACTTCTCTTGGGATCCACAAAGCCCTCAGGCTGGGTCATATAAATTGTTTTATCCAATTCACCATGCAAAAATGCAGTAGTTACATCCATCTGTTTCATTTCCCAGTCATGGTGAGCAACTAAAGCAAGCATCATGCGAATAGTGGTGAATTTAACAACAGGAGCAAAGATTTCTGCATAATCTACCCCCTCTTTTTGAGTAAACCCCTTCGCAACCAACCTAGCCTTAAACCTAACATTACTAGGTTCTTCCTTAACCTTAAACAACCACTTACACTCAACTACCGAAGAGTTGGGGGGTCTAGGTACAAGGGTCCAAGTCTGGTTCACTCTCAAAGAGTCCATCTCACTTTTCATGGCACTAATCCATTTCTGAGACTCTTTGGAACCTAAGGCTTCACGGTAGGTCTTGGGTTCATTCAGCTCTAGGGATTCAAACACAGAAAATGCAAATATAGAAGTATCATGCACAATGAAAGCATAATCAGGCATACTATCAGCAGTTCTCCTGATAGCCCTTCTACTCCTATCTCTAGCAAGTTGATAATCATGCAAATTATCACTACTAGGCTCCTCATGCAACTCATGCAAATTATTGTTATCATGAAAATCAGATTCAGCACCCATATCATGCAAATCATGCTCAGTATCATGCAAATGCTCCACCTCACTCGAGGTGGTGGGACTAACATGCTCAGAGGAATCAGAATCATGCATAACAATATCATCAGAAATAACAGGATCAACAGATAAAGGACTAGCAGCAACAGGGACAGACTCCACCTCACTAGGAGTACTATCAGACCTAGACTCAGGATTAGAGGCAGACTCGGTCAAGCAAGGAAAATCAGTTTCATTAAACACCACATTTCTGCTAAGGACCACTTTAAAGCCTACCTGGTTCCTATCCCATAACCTGTAACCCTTTACCCCCTCTGGATAACCTAGGAAGACACACTTCTTAGACCTAGGATCCAACTTGTCACCCTGTTGGTGGGCATACGCTGCACAACCAAACACCCGAAGGTTAGACAGATCAAGAGGCTTACCGGTAAAGACGGCTTCAGGACACTTACCACCAAGAGGGACAGACGGGGACCTATTAACCAAATAGGCAGCAGTAGTGACTGCTTCACCCCAGAATTTCTTAGACAGACCAGAGGTAGCTAACATGCTTCTAACCTTATCCAACAGAGACCTATTCATTCTCTCTGCTATCCCATTCTGTTGGGGAGTATAAGGCACAGTTTTGTGCCTTTTTATCCCACAATCCACACACAGCTTATCCATCTCCTTATTACAGAACTCTAACCCGTTATCAGTCCTAAGGGTTTTAACTTTCCTGCCAGTTTGGTTTTCAACTAGGGTTTTCCACTCCCTAAACCTTACAAACACATCAGACTTGTGTTCTAAAAGGCAAACCCACACCTTCCTAGAAAAGTCATCGATGATAGAAAGGAAGTATTCCCTACCCCCGTGAGTAGGAACACTGGCAGGACCCCAAACATCGGCATGAACATATTCAAGCACAGACGAACATTTAGACAGATTAGGGTAAGAGGAAGGAGGAAAACTGACTCTATGCTGCTTGCCTAACACACATGATTCACAGAAAGGCACAGAAGTCACAAAGTCCTTACCAAAATAACCAGCCCTACGCATGACATCTAAACCCTTATTGCTCATATGTCCTAGCCTATTATGCCACAAAGAGGTCTTATCAGAACATACAACATTCACAGATTCGGCAAAAGGTTTAGCATGACACACATAAAGGTTATTCACCTTCTCAGCTTTAAACAAGACAAGCGAGTTTTTCAGGATTTTCATACAACCATCCCCCCATTTTCCCTGTAGCCCACTACTCTCCAAAGCAGCAACAGATAACAAGTTATGACACAAATCAGGGACATGCCTCACATTCTTAATGGTAAACACAGAGCCGTAAGAAAATTTCAGACATATATCACCAACACCAAGCACATTGCATCTCTTATTATCAGCTAAGGAAACATAGCCACTATCACATAATTCATAAGAAGAAAACAAATCTCTAAAGGGGGACATGTGATAGGTACAACCAGAGTCAATCAACCATTCATGCTCAGACAGGGAATTTCTCACAGAATTAACATGGTCACAAACCATCAAGATATCACCAAGGTCACATTTATCAACAGCTACACTAGCATGCTCGGTCTTCTTAGGATGGGGGCAATCCTTAATGAAATGGCCAGCGTTACCACAATTGTAACACACTCTCTTCCTAGATTTACTCCTCTTCCTCCCAGGCTGACTAGTGTTCTTACCCTGACTATTTTGCTTAGAGTTCTTAGACCTACCCTTAGATCTACCCCTAACAAACATAGCCTCACCGGAGTCCCTGGACTGACTAGCACTACCCCTAGCATGCTTCAGGTCTAATTCCTTACTCCTTAATCCATTCACAACAATGTCTAACGAAATCTCATCCCTACCATACTTAATAGCGGACTTAACATCATTATAAGAGTCGGGAATGGCATTAAGTAATACTATGGGAGTATAATCATCTATGTGTTTATCACCTGCCTGTTTGATATTCTGTATCAGTTTATTAAACACATCCAGGTTCTCATCTATATCCTTAGTCAGGTCAAGCCTAAACCTAAAGAATTTCTCTAGTAAGAACAACTTCCCGGGCAAAGAGGTATCAGTATAGAGACTATCCAATTTCTCCCACAACTCCTTAGCGGACTCAAGAATACCCACTTTCCTAAGCACAGAATCAGACAGATTCAAGTAAATAGTAGAACAAGCAGTTTCATTCATTTCAATTTGTTTAGCCTTATCTTCTGATTCAAGGAAAATACCAGTGACAGCTCTGAAAACTTTTTGCTGTATTAAAACACACTTTATTTTCTGTTTCCAAATATCAAAATCCGTTTTTTCATTAAATGGAAGCATACCATACTGATTCGCAGCCATGGTATCAACCACAAAGGAACACAAAGCTAAACAGACTGAATTGACAGAAAAAAATCTAACCCGGGTTATAAAGTATTCACTTTAATAACCCCAGGCAGCATGCAACACATAGCAAAAAAATGGACATTTTGGCAATTAAACAATTCCGGGCAGAAAATTAAAATTAATTAATTCTACCCCTACCACCCAATAAACCACCCCTACGCATAACAATTAAATTAAATAACACTAAGTAATTTAATTAATTAACTAAAACAAACTACCACAAAGGAGTGAGTTTAGAAAACGTACCTGGGGGGTTGGCGGCCGGGATTAAATCAACCGGCGGCCCGCGGGGAGGGGGAATAAATTAAATTAAATTAAAACCGGAATGCTATAAATAGGAAGTTTATCGAAAACTTACCTTAGCGAAACCCTAGGAGAGCGTTTCGACCTTACCTACCCAATTAAAAAAAATTGGGATTTTTCTGGACATTGGACTGATTTTGACCGACGTTGACCGGCGTTGACCGGCGTTGACCGGTGGTGGTTGACTGGCGTCCAGCAACTCCAGCCCAGGTCAGCGACCCGCTCCAGCCCAGCAGTCCAGTAGCTTAGCTTCAGCCCAGTCTAAAACAGCAGTAGTCCAGTTGCTCCAGTCAGCAGTCCAATTGCTTCAGTCAGCAATCCAACAGTCCAAAGCCCAAAAGCAGTCCAGCAACGGTCCAACAGCCCAGAGTCCAGCAGACTTCTCCAGGGGATTCTCCAGCGGTTCAAAACCAGCGAACCAAATTTAACGGAAAAAACATTCTTCGTCTTCCTCGCTTCATACGCGGAACCTGCGACGAAGGCCGTCGAAGGAAGACTGACGACTTACCAGCCCTCTGGCCAGCGCTCTGCTCCGGCGACGACCAGAGAACTCCGGCGGCGACTCCTCTGCAACAAGCGGCGAGCTTCCAGGCGGCGAACTTCCAGGCGGCGAACGAACTTCCAGCGGCGGTGAGCTTCTGGCTATGGCGGTTTGAGATTCCGGCGAGCTCGTGAACGACCAGCAACTCCAAGACCTTCGGTGAGCTCCAATCGACGGCGGTGGCCGACGGCGGCAGACGGCGAACCTCGCTCTGATACCACTGTAAGGATCGTTTCCGTCTCCGGCTCAGGTCTCCAACCTTCTAAACTAAACTCACACACACCACTCTAGGGCTTAGGCCACTCCATCTCCCATGTTTACTCACTCTTCTTCACTCCACTAAGGAACTCTCACACAAAGGGAAAGGAAGAAGGAAGACACTGCACTGGGATGTTCTCTCGCAGGCTTATCTCACAAAGAGGAGGAGTGTTGACTTTATAATAGGCTGCCTGCCTATAGAGAAGTCACGGGTAGGAAAAACAAGGACACTCACGGGTGTGAAGGACATTCAGGGGTATAAGCCAAGACAATCAAAGGGAGCAGCGGACAGAAGATGGGGCAGATTCCAGGTAAGTCAACAGGCCACCTATGGGATGCAAGCCTAAATAATAAAGTGAAAGGGAGGCCTTGGTAGGACTAATACCTCCAACACTTTCTAAATCAAAGTTTGAAGGAGTGAGTCAGCACTGCAACAAATATTATTATGACAATCCCAAATTCCCAATTGCTCATTACTTGAATTATTTAACTTAAAAAACCTTTCAAACCTAAAATGCTGCCGGTGTGGTACTGCTACAGTTTCATTTCTTTGGTCTGCAATGGACTGGTTTATGGCGGGCTGATGTAAGATATGCTTACATCTCTAAAAGGAAAAGTAAAGATGGATACATCTTTCTCATTTTCTTCCTCTGTCCTTACCTCTCTCATTTTCTTCCCATTTCATCTTTCTATCTCTAGATTTTCACCTGTCTAGGCTCTGAACGGCTTCTATTTTGGTTTGGTTTGGGTGAATTGGAAGAGTCAAAGCAAGATTCGTTGTTGTGAAAAGCTCTGAACCCTTCTTCTAGATTTTCTGGAAAGGGAATACCTAGCTATAGTCTCAGACTGATTCTTCGAATCCCATCACATATAATCCCTTTTATAACAGTTCACATAAATGACAACTTAATCTTGTTTTTTATTTGTTCAATGATAAGCAGCAGACCAAGTACTCACAGCAAGTATATACTCCGTATCATGTTTCTCCTGCTGCCCCAACATGTTTGTCACTGTTTGCGTTTCCAAATATTTTAAGAAATTGCTTTCAACATTTCCAAAATTATGGTTTTGAAGCAACTCCTTTTTATGTACTATATTTCGTTCATTCCTTAATAGTTACAACACTTTCAATTTAGCACTATTCACACGCACTTTAGCACTATTCACACCGCTTTGCCTATGATTTTCACTAATATATATAATCAAATCTTGTACGTAGTATAAAATATTGTTAAATTTCTCTTTGGGTTTGTCCAAAATATTAAATTTTTATTATTTTCACTAATACGTAATTAAATATAATTACGGTCAAAGTTGTGTGTTGACAAACGTTAAAGTTGAACTGTTGTAATTAAAAAATGACGGAGGCAGTATTTCTTTTTAAAAATCTGAAACCCAAATTTTTGTGAAACCAAAAATCATTTTAAATGGAGCCAAAGACTCACTATTTTTTGTCTTGAGAATATGATGGAATAAAACAAAACTCACTAAACTGTATGCGTTTCTTTGTTATGAAACACCAGTCAATCCATGCAATTATTTTCGACGTGATTTCATCCTTGGTCACCCGGAAACAATCTTTCTTTGCTTTAGTATATGAGTAAGGCTGCTTACATCCAACCCCTTTACCCCACTGTAGGTGGGAGCCTTTGTGACATTGGGGTAATTAATGTTGTTGTTGTTGTTGTATGACTTGACCACCTGTGAAGACTAGCACTACACAGAGATATTTTATGAAGCTAAATTTGTGAAATCACTTGCATATTTTCTACTGGAGCCATTAACAATTCAAATTCATCAAGCATGGCTCTCTCTCATGCCCCAAGCCCACAATGCCACCAAGCTTGGCTCTGAGGTTTTTTTAAAACACTTCACAAACATAGGTAGGTACAAAAGTGTGTATAAGAGTGGGTACAAAGATCATTTTTGTTTTTACTATTATGGTTTGGATTCTTCTAGGATTTTGACAACTATGCAGCTACTAGCCTACTAGCTAGAATGTTATTTTAGCCATTCTTTTCCTGCTCAAAGTTCCTAGCTAGGCCCTTAGAAGATAAAGATGTTCAAGAAGTTCCAACCCCTTATAGTTGTAACTATGTCAGTGTATTCTATCTATTTCATGAAATTTAATTATTGAGTTAACAAGTTCTAATGATTTTGCTCGGAATCGCAAATGGCACCAAGAGGAAGAGATCATATTGAGTTTCACATGTACTCACATAAGCTTTTTGTTCAGCCAAGATTGCTATCTCTGCCGAAGGGATGAACCCACATGAGAACTCTTCATGTTAAAATAAGATTGGATGGATTACGAAGACACTTCAAAAACACAGCAGGCATAATTCATAATGCATGTATCATTGGCCGGTTGAACTTAAATGAGTTCTAATTCAAACCTCAAGTATAGGAACGATCAACGTCGTGGTTCGTCAAAAAATAATCACACCCCAAATTTATCAAAGAAATTGTCAGCCAACGTCTCATTTGGGTTTATTTTCTCTTCAGGATAAAAATGCCTTAATTTGTTCAACCAAATGTATAGCCTCACTCGGAGAGCATTGGCACTTAAGAGTATAGAAAGTGAGTTTTGTCTTAGCAAAAGAATTCAATTTTTTGCCCAATGATGTTTTTCTTCTTCAACTTTTCTCAAGGGTGTGTCCATTAAATAGCTTGTGCATTCACACTTGTAAGTTGTAGCAAAGCAACATTTTTACTGCATTTGAAATGTTGTCCCTGTTATGCAGATCTGCAAACAACCTTAATCATAGCAAATTTGCTTCTATGTGGCCCTGTTGATAGCTTGAAGATCCCTTAATAATTTGATACAGATGGAATCAGTCTCAACATAGAAGTGAGTGTATCCTCTGCATTCCTTACAGTGGCCCCTCCTGCATTTTGAAATTGTTCGTTTCAGTAGACCTTTGTTATGGAGTGCTTTATATATGTTCTTGTACTTATTTATTTATTCACTTATTTAATTGTTTATTTATATATTGATATTTATTTGAGATTTTATATAAAACATAATGTTAAAATGGATCTTAGAAACACCTGATCACATGGAACAGAATGCTTCTTTAGAGTCACTTTGGATGCTGAAGTTTTTAAATATAAAGCCTTAGAGGCTTACACAAAGCTAATAAGCTTAGTTTATATTTACAAATCGAGATTGATTACAATCTCATTTAACTTGAAGTAGAATTTGGCATAATTTCTCGAGTACATACTGGTTGGTAGACTAAACAGTAACACATAGGATTGTAAATAGGCCTTGATTTCATGAAACACTTTCTTCAAGTGCAATAACATTTTGCTGGGTAGTTCTTCAGGACTCTTGAAGAACTTTATTTGAACTCTTTTAGTATCTCTTGTATCTTTCTATTTACTAAACATGTCCTATTTGTAATACTTAAATTCTTTATGAATACCAATGTCACTTGAGAGGCTTAAACCAACAACAAAAAGTAAACATATATCGCATGACATATTGACAGTATGATGTATAATCCTAAAAAAGCACAGGTCATATGAAGTTTTCACGCCTTCACTCACTTAGTGAGTGAGTGCAATTTAAAAGACCTTGGACTTCTGGGTATATGTCGAAATCAACGGGTTCGATGCCTATAAACACCTTACTAATATAAGGATTAGGGAATTAGGGATTGGGTATGATGAGAAGGTTAGGGCAGAACCATGCTGAAGTGATACAACCACTTATTCATGTAGGGATAAGGTGTTAATATTTATTAGCATTTATTTCTTGAGAATATTTAAGCTCACACTGTTGTTTAGAAACTGAAGAAGAGTTCAGGCAATGTATTGTACTCCCTCCGGTTTTATTTAATCTTCACACTTTGACTTCACACAAAATAAGGAAAGAAATTTGACTTTACTGTAGAGTACACTGTTTGACACTGTTTGGCACTGTAGAGACACTGTTTGGCACTGTTGAGACACTGTTTGACACTGCTTTAATGTAGATTTATTTGCCAAAAAAGGAAATAAGGAAGTGTGAAGTTTATTTTAGACCATCCCAAAAAGGAAAGTGTGAAGTTTATTAAAAACCGGAGGGAGTATATGCCCAGGCTGAAAAATAATGGTCTTGTGCCTACATAATAGGGAATTGTGATGATGCTAGCTAGTTCAATATACTTACTGACAGTCTGACAATATAGGATATCTTGCTCTCTCTATCTCTCTTAGTTCAGTAAAGTCATGTAATGTCTGTGTCTACCGGTAGGTGTAGCTCAATTGGTAGCGAGGTAGTGCCTTAAGGGTTAGGTCTCGGGTTCAAATCCTGACAACTGCGATGAGGGGTTACTATGCTGAAAAATTCATACGGCCTCTGCAAGTATCGGCCACCGGGGACAGAGCCTCACTCTCTATTTGTCAGATTGTGATTATAGTCCAATTTACATCCTCTCATCGTGTCTCTGGTCGGTGTTGGGGGCCCTCAGGGATGGGGTGTCATCCTTTTTTTTTAATGTAATGTGTCTTAGTTATGCCGATTTTTTGCGGATGGATAAATTATCGTAATCAATGCATAAGGGACTTGGAAACCCATGAGTATACTACGTATATTGTAAAATCTAGACTGAGCGTAATAATTTCACAATGATCTTTGAACACCATATGCCATTGAGTAATGGTTTTTTCTATAATTGAATTTATGTTATAGTCTTATATAGAGTCATTGAGTAATGGTTTTTTCTTATTATTAAATTTATAATATAGAGAAGTAAAATTTAACACCAAAATACGGTGTTGGAATCGGATAATGAAATCAATATTCAAAATTTATTTCAATAATACTCCATATAATTTACATTCCATTTTCACTTGGGTTTGAATGACTACATTTGGAGGCAGCTGGTTTTAAATTGCAACAAGAACACAAGTTCTGCATTCGCTATGAAGTATGATCCTGGAACTCACACCCCTCCATTTGAGATTCTTTAGTATTATGTTCATGTGTTTTGTGGTAGGAGTTCTATAATTTCAGGAACATATGTTCGGAAAAGAGAAGTTTGAGTTTTTTTAGTATTATGGTTTGAATTCTTAGCCATTCTTCCTGCTCAAAGTTCCTAACTAGGCCAATAGAGGATAAAGATGTTCAAGAAATTCCGAATACAGTTGTAACTATTTTAGAGGGTGTTTGGAGGAGCTAAAATGAGCTGATCAACTTGAAACGCCTAAAAAAACCAAACGATCATTGAATGAGCTTATTTGGCTGATTTTTATTATCAGTTGAAAAATTAGACTTAGAGCCTGTTTGGTAGCTCCAAAATCGGCTGTTTGGGCTGATTCTGCTGAAATTTATGAAGTTCTGGCTGAAGCGGCTGCATCGGTTGATTCTGCTGATTTAAGAAAAAAATATTTTTAAAGTATATTTTTAATAATAAAATAAAGAAAAAAAATATAAAAATAACTAAAATGGTCATCTACGGTCACTTCAATCAATACAGCCAGAAAAGTAACCCCAACCTTACTTTTTCTGCTTATTACACAATTCAGCGCGTGAAAGCAAAAGTTACATGTTTGGTGAAAAAGTTAGCTGATAAGCCTGATAAGCCGAAAAATAGTGTTTCCAAACGGCCTCTTAGAGTTACTTTATCAGCTGATTTCTATTTTTCTATGTTTATAGCTATTAAAGACGTTTCTATCATCTACAAAGCAAGCTGTGAAGTGTGTGGGAATATGCGACTTAGGATGTTTTTACTTGGTCTGTAATTTGCTGGTCTGGTCTGGTCTGGTCTGGTCTGGTCTGAACTGGTCTGGTCTGGTCTGGTAAGGTCTGGTTTCTTTGTATTTTTATAACTAACCAAGTCTGGTCTGGTCTGGTCTGGGACAAATTACAGTCCAAGTAAAAACATCCTTAACGTCAAAACCATTTGGAATTAATAGAAAATATGCAGAACAAATTATTTCAAAGCAATAATATGCAGAACGTAAGTCGGTAATGTGAAACTAGTGGTTGCTGTGCAATTACAAAATAAACAAATGCTTTTTCTAAGTTTTTTTTGAAGATACATATATTGGTAAAATTAGTGGCTATTGTGCTATTATAAATTACACAAATGTCTTCTAAGCATTTTTAGACAATACATATATTGGTAAAAATCTGCTAACATACATACATTCAAAATACAAAGAAGGTATACCTATTTTGGTAATTTTACATGAAATCAGCCAATTCAGCCAAAATACTACCAAACACTTCCACTTCAACCATTTAAGCACTATGAGCACTTTCAGTCGTTGCAGCCATTACCAAATACCCTTAGTGTATTCAATCTATTTCATGAAATTCAATGTCGTAGGCTCGTAGCTAACAAGTTCTAGAGGCCGTTTGGTAACTGTGTTTTTCGGCTTATCAGACTTATCAACCAACTTTTTCAAGAAACACGTAACTTTTGTTTTCACGCGCTAAATTGTGTAATTTATGTTTAACTATTGAAGTTACTTTTCTGACTGTATTGGCTAAATTTATTGTAGATGAGCATTTTAGCTATTTTACATATGAAAAACTATCAAATAAGCCCCCTAATTTTTTAAAAATCAATTAAGCTTTTTTTAGTGAAAGTTCACCCAATTACACCCTTAAACTCATTTAAAAATGGGAGATCTCTTTTTAGTAAGTATCCTATCAATTCCTCCGGTTAATTGCGTATGTGGTGAGTGAGGTGACATTTTTTTTATTTTTCTTTTCTTTTTCTTTCCTTCCTACTCTCTTTTCTTCTTCCCTGCATTTCCTTCCCTACGCCTCACCATCTCTGCAACTTCTTCCTTCTTTATTTCTTTCTTTCCCCATTTTCTTCTTCAACCTAGTTTTTGGTCGTAGTTTACCGGCCTTCACCCTCCTCCATGCGCCTTTTCTCTATCGTCGACTAGGGTCTACAGTCAAATCGAAGCTATGGATCTGGGAGTGGTCTGAAGGTGGAGTGGTCTGGAGGCTTGTGTTAAGGTACAAGGTTCCATCCTAAAAGGTCAACTTGATAGGAGGAGTAGCCCATGTATTAGTATAGCACTTCGTTCATCCAAACTTTTCCGGTGTGGGACATTTAACACTCCTCCTCACGACCAGACACTCCGTCTGGATAGTGCCATCATTCATTTTTTCCCATCGATCTGTTTTTTTTTTTCATCCGGCTGTAATTGTCATTTTTTAAATAATCATGTCATCATTTTTCATAAGGGGCCCCACACCATGGATCGATTTGGCTCTGATACCATGTTAAGACACAGGGTTCCATCCTAAAAGGTTAATCTGATAGGAGAAGTAGCCCATATATTAATATAGCACTTCGTTCATCCAAACTTTTCCGGTGTGGGACATTTAACAGCTTGACAGAGCATCTCCTCCGACTTCCAATCCATCTAATTGAGGAAAGGGGACAACCGCCGTGCGAAGTAATTGAGCATCTCAAGCGACGTGGGTTCCTCTCAGACTCTATGCCAACGGAAGACCAATGCTTTGCTTGGCAAAAGAAAGAAGAAAGGGAGAGAAGAAAGATGGATGGAAGGAGATGAAAAATGGAAGAAAAGGAAGGGGTGAAGGGGAATGTTCGCTGGAATGCAAAGGAACGGTGGAATGAGTAAAGGAGCTTAATTGTGTTTTTTATAAAGTTGGGGGCTATTTGATAGTTTTCCCTTTTACATATAATTTTTTTAAAAATTTATTTTATAAACATTTTTTTTTTCTTAAATCAGCAGAATCAGCCAATGCAGCCACTTTAATCAGAATTTTATACGGAGTAAATTTTAACCGAATCAGCCGAATTAGCCGATTTTCGTGTTATCAAACACGAGGACTCCTAATGTATTTTCTTGGAATCACAGATGGCACCAAGA